GATAGTTCAGCAACAAAACAGTATCGGGCTGACAGGAGCGCTGCAAATAGAACGAACATGTGAAAGAAAAACAGGCCAATGCAAATTTCGTAAAAACAAAGTCCACGAATAATGTGTCGACAAACCTTGGAAGGTCGTGGGATATCTAAAATTTGACGACGGTCCCGAGCCCACAGCCCTGTTGTTTCACAGTCTGCCACGGAGTTCCAGTTGAAGATCCGCCCCTTACCTGATGTGGAGGTCAAGCTGGTCTTCGCCAAGTGAGGGGCAAGTTCCTTTCACAATCGTTGGAACCGAGTAGTATCAGCCATTTATATATGGCGGGAGCATCATAATTTGTGTTTGTTTTACTGGTTCCCAAGCGTAAGGAACCAACAAGTAAGTCCTCTGTCCATCAACACAAGAAGAGGTGATTGTTGTGGGCGAAGAAGTCATAGTGGTCAGACGCGAGCTATACTGCTCGGAAGGGTTGGTTCACTGACTGATAAAGTGCTCGGTGTACATGAGTCGGTGCAGAAAAAAGACGCTATGTTCGTAAAGACTTAATGACACATTCCGTAATTGTATTAGGTCGTTGCAAAAGAAATGCAGGATTTTGCTTGCTTGTATTTCATACTTATTTTATTCCAATAATATGTTACTTTAATATGAAGTGTTATATACTATTCGGAAGCTCATCTCATGCTCTTTCTAAATGATACTCCAAGATTGGTTGTAATTCATTTTATTATAATTTTTATTGACATTTTATTGCAGATGTCGAAACGTGAATTTCGCACTATTTTCTTCTATGAGTTCATGTTGTATATGGGTAATTGGAACTCAGTTTCCAATCTTTTAAGTTCGGATAACTTATGTGTAAACATCTCGGATTGAGATGGGGCCGTGGCAATGATGTAAGTACCTAAGGACAGGTCGTAAAAGTGGATGCATCTGGTGATATCCCTAGGTGTATCCTTAGGTACTTGTGGTTCTCTCACGAGACCATACACTGTGGCCACGCCCCCATCTACTGTCGATCCGTTGGCTGATCGAGCTGATCAGTCAGTCTGGAGTTTTGCCGAGCTCACGGAAGGTGAGCAGATCGGTCTCTCCCGGAATCGGGAGGGGAGTTTCCCAACGTCGTCGCGGACGACTTGGAGATGGACTCTACGTGGTAGAGGGCTCCCCCTGGCTCAAGGGAAGTGTCGCGACGATGCGAACTTCATTCTCTTCACCCGTTGAAGAGCGGACCTTTCCCTGTGTGGAAAGTAGTGGTGCAGTAGTGCGTACGATACGGCTACAGATGCACGTTGGCCTAGGCGTAGTTTAGCGCAGTGGTCGTTCCCTTTTGGTCTAACAAAAGGAAGAGGATGGTTGAACGTCTTCGGTATAAGGAGTTGTCCAACATCCTAGATGGCAGGATTTGTGGGTAATACCCTTTCCCTTTGCTTGGTTGAGTGTCAGGATCTACTCGCGTAGATTCTGGCTCATTTTATGCTCTGGTTGGCTTCGCCATCCAGGAATTTGTACATATATTGTTTGATAAAAGGTTAGCTACGAAGAGTGATCTGTTATGTAATTGAAACTACCCAGTGACAGTTATATAGCACCCACGGCTGTTCACGAAACCGCGGAATACGTAGGACGGACACCGCCCTGCGATTCCATTCCAACATTCAAGCTAGGACGAAACGCTGCCGATACAGCTCGAAGTTTGGGGTCAAGGAAGTGTCAACGAATGTACGGTCCAACGTTGGTTCCAGAAGTTTCGTTCTGGCAACACCAGCCTTGAAGATGAACCTCATGTTTGGTGGTCTGCCGCCGGTCTCATCCATCACAGCTTCCTGAATCCTGGTGAAACAATTACGGCAGAGAAGTACTGTCAACAAATCGACGAAATGCATCAGAAGCCTTAACGCATGTGCCCAAGGTTGGTCAATATGAAGGGACTCCACGATTCCGGACTCTTCTCCACGACAATGCCCGACCACACTTTGCACAATTTACCCTCCAGAAAATAAACGGATTGGGCTATGAAACTCTGCCTCATCCACCATACTCACCAGACCTGTCGCCCACCGATCACCACTTTTTCAAGCATCTGGACAACTATCTTAGAGAGAAAGGCTTCAAAAACCAAGACGATGTCAAAAACGCCTTCAACGATTTTGTGGCCTCTAAAAAGAATTACAACCAATCTTGAAGTATCATTTAGAAAGAGCATTAGATAAGCTTTCGAATGATATATAACACTTACATTTTATTGGAATAAAATAAGTATTAAATACAAAAAAACGAAATCCTGCATTTCTTTTGCAACGACCTAATAGCTCGTAAACCTTGGGGTCCAATTATTACCTCGTACACGTGAGTTGACAATACCAGTTAGGAACACAGTAGGAAAAGCCGTAGAAGACTACCTAATCAAGGCTACAGTATTGGTCAAATCTATAAAGAAGCGATACACTGCTGAAGGTCGTCGGTAAAGTATGAGGGAAGTCGACAAGACGGAAAACGAGTGAGCGACCCACACGCCTAACTATAGCCAAATGCGCTAGTCGTCTGTTTCCTCCCACTTCTAGATGTTCTCTAGCTCTGACTGCGTGTTCACGGCGGAATTTCGGTACCGACCCAGTGCACTTGGATACCACGGGCGGAATCTTAAAACGGCGAGTTAAGTGACGGTAAAATGGTGCCCTGCCATTTATGTCGATCACCCTTCTCTTTCATGGGATCTCCAGAATATGATGATTAGGCGTGCGCAGGGTCCCAGGTCGTTTGACGAGTCACGAAAAACAAATTCAGAACCATAGCGAAGATGTCCCAGAAGCTAGTATCTCCCAGCAGTTCTCTTCACTGGTCGAGTCAGTATGACCCCTTCCCCCACCTAAAACGGGCTCGATACGACCACCCCCCCCCATTTTGACGATTTGTTTTTTTACCCTTCTATCTGCGTTGGAAACATCTTCTTTTCTCGGGCGTTCCTCCGAAACATACGTGAGAGAAAGGCAAACACACTTGCGAGAAAACTCATGCTAAACTGAGAACTTCTCTTACTTCGGACCCCACCGTTCAACAGAAATAGGCAGTGGTTGGTTCAGCGCCCATAAGCTCCACCTCCAGATGCGCCATGCCTTAGGCTGCCACGGAGAGTAGTGGTATGGTGCAACTTTTACGTATTTCCGTCCACGCGAGTAAATTTGTTCATGTGACCTACTTACGGACTACAAAGCAAGTTTCGCTACCCAGGGTTGAGCGACGCTGACACTTTGTGCTGTTCGTTACTGGCTGGCCCTCTGATTACGACACCCCCACCCCCTCCCTCCCCACCTCAATGGTCAAATAAGGCCCCACCTAATGGGGAATGTGCCCTGATTCAGCGCTAAGGCAGGGCACCTTTCACAACCAAGAACTACAAGTAGGCGGATGAGGACGTTCTTTTATTTAAAGTTTTACTCTGTACCACGAGATGGGCCCTCATCCATCAGTCCCAGACCATCAGTAAACATCAGTAAACTTGGACGTCCCAATATTTTTGGTTTAGGCATCAGCTATGCCATCACGGCCCTGATTGACGTATGAACTCTCTCTGGTTTAATGTGAAATGTTCCAGAGCCTGTGGAAATGCGTCCTGAACGAGTGAGAGTAATTTCACTTCAGCCTGGCCGAAGGGCGCGTCAGGCCAGGCACTATTCTTAAAGACAGCCCCCGCGATCAAAGTGGCTCGTGGTCGCCTTTGCTGTGCAAGTAGTCTAGCCTCCAAGCTAGAAGACTGTTCACCTTTCGCGACTCTATTGTGAGCGTGGAGGCTGCTATAGCCGCTCAAAGTGCTAGTTCTAACTCCTCCTCAGTCGGACCGCCTTTACTTGCTAGATGTCCACTCACTTGTTCTTAGTTGGGGCGGCGGGCATTGCTAATGCCCCTGGATAATTCTGCTCTCCTTCATTACAGTTTACATTGGAGGTATATACATTCAATTCAACCATTTCGCGAGGTGAAACGCGTAAAAAACACGAGTGACGCAATTTTCGTGATGCAAAACCACGACGCACAAAAGGTGCGCTACCGTAATCACAAATTCAGACACCGTGTTGATAAAATTCCTTTTTCCTTCCCAGAGTTTTTCCTCTGCGTTTTTGTTGTTTTCTTTTTGTATTCTTTCTTTTGCACTGGATGATATCAACTACTGCGAGATGTGATAGAGAGATTTGTGAGCTAGGGGCTGCACAGAGACCGCAGGGAGGTGTAACTGTGAGGGAGCGATTTTGTTTATGTTGTTCTGGAGAACGCTTCTTGCCTGTTTTCTTCTTTGGGAGATTACTTATCAGCTGCTGTTTCATAATTGGAAAGCAGCTATCCATGAGACTTTTATCGCGGGAGCTGTCTTTAAAGGCAGCGTGACGCGGTCAAAGGAGACAAGTATCTGACGTGGTCAAAGAGGGGATCACCAGCAGCGCTTGTGTCCACCCCGTAACTAGGGCCTAGCAGAGACTATGTCTTCCTTGTGAAACTAATTGTTGTCTACCCTGGTCGTCTACGCTCTAGGTCACAGCCTTCGTCAGAGGAAAGCACACTTGAGCGCGGCCGTGTCCTCCCCTTCTCCCACTAAGTTAGTTAGGCATTTTATCATACACCTATATATAGGTACTCTTCCTGTCGGAGTGAGAGCGCTACAGGTGAATTAGCAAAAGCAAACTGTGGTTTTTAACGGATTCCGGAGCAAAACAGGAATTTCAGGCGTGATTTGAGTGCGATGGGCGCGGACTACACCAAGCACCCCATAAATGACGGTGGATTATGGGTTCAGTGGGATTAAAAAGTGGTGAAGTTTTCATTTTTTTTCACTTTGGAAGTCTCATAGGACTTTCCTTGTTTCCTGAAAGTTAGATGCTTGTATTGACTACCTTGTAGGGAACTTCTTTTGAAGGTAGAGCTGTTTTTCATATTATTTTGAAGTCACCCCACCTGGTAGCGAAGTTCTTTCATTTTTTACGACTGTTCATCGTTTGCAGGGAATCATGTGTGCAACTAAATATTTGCAAGCTGTAAAACAATATATAGAAATGTGCAGCAAATCGAAAAACTTCATGCAATTCGCTGGAGGAGTAAGTTCCTTTCCAACCAATTAATAGCGATTATTCGCCACTAAATTTACACAGGAAAAACATGAGGCTATATTCAGAGTGATCCATTTGATTCTTCCGAAATTTCCTTTCAGCTGCGACCACTTGCCGTCTCAGAAGGACGTGTGAAAGTGGAATTCGAAGTAACGCCCACTATGACGAATCCTTGGGGTGGTCTCCACGGCGGATGTACGGCCACTCTCGTCGATGTTGTCACGACTGCGGCCTGTCTTGTAACCCCAAGAGGGAAGCCTGGGGTCAGCGTAGATCTCCATGTGACGTGAGTTCGTTAGCTGTATTCCTCGGATAGATTGAGTGAGATTCCACGGATCCTTAGGTTCTCTCAATGAGGAGATGAGAAAATATTGAGTGGTCCAGCGAGTATACCAAAAAGTTCATTATGAGTCGTTCGAGGCGATATCTTTTTAGGAAGTATGAAGGCAAAACTGAATTGCCTTGAAGGCAAAGACGGTCCCTACCATGTGAATGGGTCCGCAGGTGCAGTAGCATGCCATTTTCTTCGCGCTAAAGGGCATGGGAACTGGGCTGGAGGGTAGCAATCCTCGGACCGCTGCCATACTCCGTCCACGCAATCCTCAACGTGCAGGCTTGCATACTTAGATACCAAGTTCCCTCAGCGAAGTACGCATTCAGCGGTAGAGAATGACCAGAAGGCAGAGAGAGGGCGCAGACAATCGTTTGGCTTTGGTTGGGAGTGTGTCTGGTCGTGCTAAGGTGCGGGAGAAGTATCGAGACGGCACCTGGGTATCACTACCCCCCAGCCCGTTCCCGTGCACTTTTGAGAGAAGAAAGTGGCAAGCTACTCAAGCTGTGGAGCCACTCACCTCGCACATGGCAAGCATCAGGGTCCACAGACCCTGGTGCTGGTTGACCAGTCTTGGGCCTTCTATGGTGCGTCCCCTGAGCAGAGTGGCAAGGTGTTTTTTGGCCTTGCTCCCTCATCCTGTATGTCTGGTCTCGCTCGCGCACCCATTCGGAGCACGCTGTATGTTGGGAACTCGGCTGGGGATACCTGGTCCCGTATTCGCCTCTGAGGAAAATGGAGTCGTTGATTCCTCCGTTTCTCTTGATTCAGTGCTTTATATGCCTCTTCCCCCTGCTTGATGACAGTTTTCTTGGAAAAGTGGAAGAATCTTGATCAAAAATGAAAATTGTAGGACGCTGGAAAAAATGCAGCAAGACGATAGGTAGGATGAGAGTGGGGGAGGCTCGTATAGGAAGGGGAAATGTGGAGGGGACAGAGGACCTCATTGTCGGCTTGTAGCCGTTTCACCCCCATCAACTACAGTAGTATCTATAACATACATTTAATATCAATTGCAGATACCTGGCAGCAGCCCGAGAAGGCGATTCTTTGATAGTGGATGCCGAAGTGATTAAAGCCGGCAAAACCCTTGCATTTACTAGGGTGCGCTCAAATTTTTCACAGTGAATTGTCAAGGTCTGTTACTTAGGTTGATTGTGTTGTATTTTAGGCTGATCTCATCCTGAAAGACAAGAACCAAATAGTCGCGACAGGCCTCCATACAAAGGCATTCCCACCGGAAAAGTAATCCACTTGTACAGTTGCTAGAATTAGCTGAGGAATAGAATCTGTTTATTCTCCACCCGGAACACATGAAATTAACCCGGACATATTTATTTTCTCTTCTTCTTTATACCAAGATCTAGACCATCCATGTATTTCTTGTCAATGCCATAATCCTTTGTGAGCAAATCGCCGAGGTAGGTAACCTATAAAACATGATACGAGTTCTTATTCAACAATTGCTCAATTTTTTTCATTCAGTTGTTGAAGTAAATTTGCAGAGTAATTAGAATAGGTCGTTATTAAAAGGTATTCTCACATGATTCCCCAGTACTGTCACCTGTGGTCCTTCACAATTTACGGCTTCATTGGTAGTTGTCGCACTTGTCGCAGCTTCGACCTTAGATTAGAATCGATAGGCTTTCACCCATAGAATGTAAATATTCCATATCATAATAAACTTTACATACCTGTATTTGGTGGCATAGCTTCTTTACCTCGATACCGAAAGAAGATAAATTGTTTATCAATGTTACTTTTTTGTTTCCTGATCGAGTTTCGACCTGAAAATTCCATACGGTTTGAACAGTTCTGGTCCGGATTGTGCCTACGGACTATCCTTAAACAACCTCTGAGATTGCGTTCATACTTAGGTCAGCGTTCTGAGCGACTAGCGTCTTCGGTCTAGCGTTTCGAGCGTATGCCAGCGTTTTGAGGACTGCCCACGAAAAGCTCAAAACCACCCGCGAAACGCTCAAAACGCTAGATCGATACCTGTACCTTCATAGTCGCTCAAAACACTGTCGTACGCTTAAAACGCCGACGCAAAGTATGAACGCACTCTCAGACAGACCGAGTTCATATTTCACGAACGTGGAGAGTCTGTATTCGGAAGAATCTACAAAGAAAGCATATCTATTGATCTAGAGGATCAGTGATTTGGAGGAACGTAGGATTTGAGAAAAAGCCTTGGAAATGAGAATCGGCGACACACAATTAGATCAAAGTGGACTCCGCCCACTAGCGAATTGTGGACTCTCCGTACACGCTGGCGGTGGGCGAACTCAAAAAGTCCACATATAATCCTTCACCCACAGTTCTTTCGTGTAGCACTATCCCCAAGTCAGCCCGTATACCTCACGTTGACGCCCAAATCGCGGACTCATCACATTCGCAAAGTATGAACGCGGTCTCCTAGGTATATTTCACCTACAGCACACAATAATGGCAAAATAACCTTGAACACGATCTTCGGCATATTGATTTTCCTAACGAGCTCTCGACCATCTGGCATCCGCAATACAAAAGTTTTTGTCATTTTACTCTGAAAATCCTCTAGATATTCCCAGCAAACTAAGAGAAGCTTTCCAAGACAGTAATATTCAAAGTAAACCAACCTGAATTTTCTGTATAAGAGTGTTCCAGTCTGTAGTATCTTCAGATATTTTCGTTACTTGAGCAAGAATCGGGATCGAGTCGTACATGTTTACCTTGATTCAGTTCCTGAATGGAAATATCATCAAGGTGTGGGTCATGCTGCGAAAAGCTACTAGTAATGAAGATCTTGAGCATGTGAATGGTAACTGGTACCTGCAGCCTTCCTCCGCAATTAGCGAATGATGCTTACACATACTTAGGTGTTTCCCTCCACAACCCTAACCATCAAGATCCGAGAGCCGTCCAAACTTTCCCAATCTTCTATCCTAATGTCTCAGGTGGCTTATCGCTCCCGAAGAAACAGTTCCCGCTGATCACGGAGGTGAAGTTAGACCTACCGTTGTGTCCCCTCCCCATTGGTGCACTTCCCCGGAGAAATGCGTTAAGGGGAAGGGTGCGATTGAGGAAGACACAGTTGAGATCCACCCATATGATCGGTATGAGTTACACCTCTCTGAGCCTATCATTCCGATAGCACCATACGATGTTTGAAGAACTTTCGTGTATTTTATCGCGATCGCTTTTGTCAAGGTCGAAAAGCTGTCCCAACTTTCACAGGCCTAATATTACTAATATCCCAGTTGTCTATTCATCTTCAATCACGCACAACTATAGCAGAACTTAGTCCGCATTTATCGGATGGGCGGAGACGGACACACCCCTGTGTCTCCCACTGACTTCCCCTGCAGTTTGACGTGCTGAAGATTATGGGCACGTACGAGGAAAACAGTATGGTAAGTCTTACGCCGTTCATATGATCAGCGTCAAGTGTGCCTCTGAGGACCACTGCACCTTCTTAGCATTCTTGCTTAGCAGGAAGAGGAGGGAGGGGAGAGGAGGAGAGGAGAGACTTT